AATGTCAGCCTGAACTCGTCACGTCCTTACATAATTGAGGTTAGAATGATGTTATGACCGAGTGTTGTCCAATTCGTTGATGATCTAATTTCCCACTCATCGTGGGCTTTTTAGACCTGGGTCGGGTTATTCAAAGGTGGGTTAAGATAACCCAGAGTTAGTGTGAAATTTTATTTCAGATCTGAAAGCTTTAAAAGAAAATTCAGTATAATTATTTTTGTCTACAATCTTGTGATAGGATGCTCTGAAAAGAATGAGGAAAATTTTCCCAAAAAGGTTCTTGAATAGAGAATTAAGGAAACGTGGATTAAAATTTAAACCTGGGTTAGTGCAAATCGGCCTTCGAACAACTGAACCCTGATCTCCTTTTTAATTTATAATTCAGATTACGAAGTCGTATATATATCTTATTAACCAAGCGCGAGGGCCACACTGGGAGAATATCGGCCTGAGGTCTTGACAGTACGGACCGAGCGCAGCGAGGTCCGAACAAAAAAGACCGAGGGCTGATATTCTTCCAGTACGGTCCCGAGCAAGCTTGGTTAATAAGAGATTTATTATACGACTGAAGTTCAAAGGGAAACAAGTGCGGTATCATTCGGGACCATTCGGGACAGTGCCCGGTCCAATACTTAGAGAATATTGGACCGGGAATGGAGCATTTTGATTAGTTGATTTTAGTTATTGGCCCTCTGACTGCCCGAGTCGTGCAATAATACCAATTATTCCTAGCTGTTACTAGTTAAGCTTGCTTCACACTTGTGACATCAAGGCAAAACAACAAAATGAGAAAACAAGCAGATCGCTTGTTTTCTTTGTGTCACTGCCTCGTTAGTTACGTTGCCAATACCTGACTTAGTTCACTAGTTCACACTACTGTATGATGAAATAACTACGTTCGTATACCGTTTCTTCCCTCGTGTAGCTATTGCCAACGGTTCACACTGATAGGTCGTGTTATTTTCTGGTTATGTTTGCTTGTTCACACTACTAACTTGATAACATAAAAACCTCCTCACTTTGCCATACTCCTGTCATTACATCGTTACATCATAAGTGTGAAACAGACTTTGTTGTTGTTTGTTATTCGCAGTGCCTGGAATGCTTGAGTACGAATCAATTCCAGGCGTATCCAGTTCTAAACCATTTGGTGGACGATCCAAAGCTCATGCTGACATCACAGTGAAGTCCATCACAAAAATGGTGAGTGAATTCGCGAGGAAATATCCGAAATATATTTCAGACGTCACAGTCAAGTTTTTTTTCACGGCCATTTGTAAAAGTTTTGCTTTCCTTGTTAGCATTTTAGGGTTAAAGAGTACTATTCGATTGTTCCTTACCTTTGTCGACCTTTTGCTACTCTGCATTGTAAATTTGTTGGAGAATTACCTGAAGCTGAGACAAGTGCCAGTAAATTTTATAGGACGATTTTTCTTTTGTCAAGTTTCCATTTGATCGCCGATTCAATGCCTGAAAATGCACCAAGTAATGTGATTTATATTCTGATTTCAGCTGTCAAACTTCCTTGCCATACTTAATGCTCACTGTGTGGATCCAGAAATCATCAAACAGGTTTTTAGACAGGTAAGTCAGGTCGACTCGGTAGTATTATTTATTGTTTACATTCTGGTTTTTGTTGATGTTGCTTTTGCTGATGATTTTCAGCAATACTTAATTCATATTGCTGTTGAAATTTTGTTTTTATAATTTAGCTCTTCTATTACATTGGTGCAAACATGATGAATAACTTGCTGTTAAGGAAGGACATGTGCCATTGGTCTAGGGGAATGCAGATCAGGTCCGTGATCAAAATAGAACTTTTCTTTCTACTGAAATCCCAAACTTAATTGTAATATAAAAAACTCAACACCAAAATACAAATTTCTCTAAAGGAAATGACAAAAAAGAAAATTGAAGAATCTATGGACAGTAACAGAACATTAGCTCCCAAATCTTATTGTTAGGTAAACTTTCTAGCTGGCAAGGGAGGCATACTCAAAGAAGGAAATGGTGGAAATCTTTCGTTTTATATTTTTTTCCTCATTCCGTAGATTTAACCTCAGTCAGCTGGAAGACTGGGTCCGCCTGAACCAACTGGAGGGCAGCGGTATCGTGGAAGCTTTAGAGAACGTAATACAAGCGACACAATTACTCCAAGTCAACAAGAAGACGTTAGAAGACGTGGACGCGATTTGCGAAGTCTGTAGTTCTCTTAACACCTTACAGGTAAGAAAACCGCTCTACTTACCAGCTGACAGGTAAGATAAGTATATCTGACGGATTTGTAGTCATAATCAGAAAATTATACTGCGATAGCTCCGAAAACAAACTGGTAACACACTTCCCACGACAGGGATCAAAGCCCTGGATATGGAGAACGACAGTTCTTTTTTCTCGGAACCAAGTGTCACAAATTCAGACTAGTTTGACTCGTAAGTTCAGCTCTGGAGTACATCGTGGACTTGTTTTGGAAAAATTATCATGATTTTCTCAGGTCAAGGAAAAGTCACAGAATTTAAAAAACTTAAGGCTTTTGCAACTATGAGTACAACAAGAGCTGGTTGTCCAGAGACCTTTTGTAGACTTTGTCGCTTATGGTGTACCGCCCTTAAAGGGTAGAGCAAGTATGGAGAACAAATCGGTGTAACTCATGTACATCCGTTGAAGGTCGTTTTGGAGTCGTTTTTCGTCCTTAAAGGTATCTTGAAAAAATAATTCCCTTCAAGGAGCTGAATCAACAGCTAGAAAGCTTAGTCAAACCAGAATACATTACCGGTAATAATTACCAATTAGGATTTTTGTTTTTTTTTTTTGTTTTTCTTTTTTCATTTTTCTTAGGTTCAGAAGATTTTGTCCATGTATACTCCAGCGAACGAGTACGAGGCCAGAGTACCTTCGTCTGTCATTCGTGCTGTTGTGGAGCGCGGCCATAACAAGACAGACCCGATGTTCTTAATGACTGATACAGCGTATATTTATCCCTTTACGCTGCCTTTCACTCCTTCAGCTGTGTCGTTAGATTCTCTGACCATCCCTGATAATTTAAACCTTGATTTTCTTAGGGTGGTGTGAAGTAGGTGCAGTAAAGTTTGTGGTTAGTACTACGTGTTAGAATTGAGGCTTTAGATTGGGGCTGGACTTCCCCTTTTAAATTTGGAAATTTGTTCTCATGAGGAATACACATGTCCAAGTTCTGTCATTATTGGGTACATGTTGGTTCTTCAAATCACTGAGAATGCTTCGTGTCATTACGAAGGACACATATATTAAACTCTAATATATAATTTAGCGAGAGCCGTTATTGGCTTCGAAGTTAAAGAACAAGTTATGAATGGATATATTGTATCTAAGTAATCAACTAGAACATTGATCAAAGGAGACCTGTGAGTGACGATTGTGCAGGTCTTTGAACCAAATTTACATTTAGAATGCTACATTGATAGACACAAGATAAGATAGTACAGCCTAGTTATTTCGCGCGATAACGAATAGCTTCTTTGCCTCGTATGTTAGCATCTAGCGCTTCTTTTGAGGAGACCTCAGCAGATCTGGAAGTAGAGAGTTAATGCACCCATGTTTAACGTCCAACTGTGAAGATGAAATCGATTTGACTGTAGGAACCGACGAAGCATATGAATCGAAAATTGTTTGGTTTGAACTAATACTCAATCGAAACCTACCGCTTATTTTTTTTTTTCTCCCTCACTTTACACTGAGGAGTGATGGGGGAGGGGGAGGATGGAGCGAGAAATAAAATTAATCGCACCTAATCAGTTGTTGAAAAAATTATGATTTTTTTTTTGTTTTTTTGTCCAGACGACAAAACGTTTAGGTTAAATAAGTACCATTCAAACCAGCAGTGACAGTTGAAAAGAAGAGCTAAGAGTTTTTATGTTGTCAAGTGTTCTTTGTGTTCGGTGATTTTTTTTTTAAGTGTTTATAAATTGTCGATCAACAAAGCCGTTTCTTTTAACCTAACGGTATTTTGTACTTGAAGATATTTTTTGCTTTTTTTTTGTGCTTAATATGTCGGTTCACCTTAAAAAGCTATTTCAAAGAAACTGTTTCTAGTAAACCTTGAGTAAAATTTAAGTTTTGTGGTTGCGTACGGCCTCTCATCACGAGGGAAAAGATGTTACCTACTGTAGATCCACTTTGCAGATGCAAAATTGCGTGACCAATCTTTGGCCTCTGTGACAACATTGTGTAGTTGTCACGCAAAACTTCAGATGGAACGCGTGACATTGTAAGTTTTAAAGGTCACTGAGGATATTTTGATGTAATTTGGTGAGTGATCAATTTAATTAAATGGAAATGGAAATTGCATTTGATCACAACCTTAATGTTACTTATTTCGCGGTACTTGTTTTTCCTGATTTTAGCGATTTCAATGAAACTCTTTAAAATTGCCAAATAATTTGCAATGCGGAATTTTCATGAACTTTTCCTTGTGGCAAAGGGGAATTTGCAACCTTATGACTAGGCGTAAATACACCGTTTGATTAGTTGATAACAAATCCTCTAAACAACATGCCCAGGAAAAAAGTAAATTAAAGGTTTTACAATCGATGCTTAAGTGACAATACGCATTCACAAGTGTAGGTTATTTGAATTGAAAACTGATAACTGAAAATTTCGAAATATTTTTGGGGGACAGGCGAGAGGAGTATTTGTTTGATGACGTGGAACATGTGAAGTAGATAAGGTAGCAGTGCATGTGAAGCTAAATTATTTAATGATCACGAAACCATAACTGAAAATAAATGTATTTTTATAGAACTGGACTGTATCTTGTATCCACTTTGCAATGCCCATGATGTAATATCCGAGAGAGCATTTTTTTCCCATAAATGAAAAAGATTTTTTGTATTGAAAGTACTGGCCAATCCCTTCTTGCTTTGGCGAGCCTCTCGAGGGTCCCAATCATCCCAGAAAGCAGAAGGGAAACATACAAATGGATTTTTCAGAATGTTTAAAATGTCTTTCGAGCAGGAGGTACTTTAATTAATATATCGCTTGAAAGGAAATGTTTTTCCTCGCTTAGACAACTATGTCATTTGGGCAGGAAGCACGGCAGATTATAAGAACAACAGCAACAACTAAAAAATAGCCTTTTCGGACCCTGATAAACTCCTCTGAATAATACAACAATGACAGGTATACAAAAAGTAGGCAAGAGTTATTTGTCAGTAAGTTGCGTCATCAGTTTCAAATTAAAGCAGAGTACAACACTCAACGACCGCGATGACGAAAAAAGACCGGCATCAAACTCACAGAATGCCGGTGTTACAGTTGTCGTAGCAACAGCAATGGAATGTACATGCGTGGGTTCCGTCCTTAGTGTTGCACTCTGATCCATCGCAGTGGCCCTGTAGTCCACACGTTTTAAAGTAGTGAGTTTTAGTTACTTCTCCAGGTTTTTTTAGGGTAAGGACATCTATCTGTCAGACGTCAAGGTCGCATTCCCTCGACTTCAGCTCGCTTTCGCAATCAACCCAGGATTAATTTGAGTAACAGCCCCAGCAACGGAGACAGAGAGCTACACAAAGGTAAATAATCAAAATTACTATTACTCTTCGCTACAAGAAAGACTTTCTTGCTTAAATTAGAATTCCAAAAGATTTTGTGGAAATCTCTCGCAAACGAGTAAGGAACCAGTCATTATTTCTCACCTGGGGAGGATCGGAGAGTTCTTTTCTACCCGGTGGAAAAAAAAAAAAATTAACGTATCCTACAGAAGTTCTCAGTGTGCCCATCTACTTCAACAATCAGTAACGTACCGACAAGGTTATCCCTGAAGTGAGGGAAAAATGCATTGAGGTCCCTCCCCCCACCCCACCTCAATATGTAAATATTTACGTGGTCAATTTTCTAAAAGTTTAATTTCATTAAAAAGGATGTTAGGTTCTGCAGGAGAAATAGTTATCACTTTATCACTCAATCCTACACACGAACAAAAGAAATAATCCATCAGGTTTGGTTTTTCACGCCACAGTGTGTCATATGGTTTTCTATTACAAATTAATTTCCCATACATGTACATTATTTACTATTCGGTAAATTACCAGCTGGTGGATCTGTCAGTATTTATAGCTTGCAGGGATCGAAGGATTTTCGTCTTGTCATAATATATATCCTTTTTGTGACGACTGATCCCATCTTCGCGTTTCCCCGGAAAACCATGTAATCCTCCCAAAATCCTCTTGGCCCTCCGCGACATAAATAATGGCTGATCCCTTTGGTGCGATATTTTCTGGGTCTCTCGCTCTTCATGATATTTCAGAAATATTCCCTTGCAATTTGATTTTTCTTATCTCACCCGTGATTTATGTTTCGTCCTTGTTCACGTGCAGGAATTTGCGTGACATTCACACCAGAAGGTTACGAACCACTTTTAAGATCGAAGTGTTCAAAACATGACACCTTGAACGATTCAGCCCATTAAAACCAAAGGATATAGTGTGAATCAAATGAAAACATGCTTAAAGCCGCAGTCTAGTTCGTGTGTGAAATGTTTTGACGACCGTTCTTTCAATAAATGTATATATGTTAATGATCAGTCATACACAAGAACAAATACCAATAGATACTAAATGGAAACTGAAACTTAACAAATAAACCTCAGCGGTCGAGAATTTTTGCAACAAATACCGTCAAATCATTGGTTTACCGAAGAGCTGTTCCTAAATACAACCGAGCTTCTGACAATCTGGCACCGAAATCAAGCAGCTTTCGAATGCTAGCACCTTGATACAGGATGCGATTCCTCGGTGATAGGCCTAGAATGTCGCAAAATGTTACTGAAAAAATTCAAGGAGATGAATTAAGAGATAGTCTCTCAGACGTAAATCAATTTAATCTCTTTTAATCAAAAGGAAAGTAAACCTGAGNGGAAATTGCTAAACTCACGAAAGCTATTGCATGAAAACAAGTCCGGTGACCCCTTCTTTTTATTGTTCCAATATGATAATAACGTCGAAAGGAATCATCAGAAAAAAAAAATAGAAAATTTTACAGAAGGAAATTTGCGATGTGTGAAAATTGCCTTTTTTCTAGATTTTCTGAAATTCCGCTCCGTAGAATTTTTTAAAAATCTGTGCATTTTCCTTTTTCAAGTGCCAAAAGCAATCACTGAAAAAAAAAACACGGGGGTCACCGGGTTACTTTTCGAATTATTTAAGACACAAGCTAAAAAATGCGTCTGAATAAGCCAATGAAAGCGTTGCCATGGAAACTGCCAATAACGAAATGACACCTATCTTTGGAGAACCAATGATTATATAATTTAACCCCGTAAAAGTGTTCAACTGGCCTTGGTCAGTCTTTTTGTTGTATTCTTTCAAAGTTACAAACCATCAAAAAGATGAAAACTGGTACCAGCCACCTCAACCTAATCAAGTTTTCTGAATGAATTTAATCGAAGAAATAACAATTTCGGGAAATATTTCGCGTACTAACTGACCTACTGCTCATTCACACTTGTACTTCACAATAAGATATTTTTTGACTCCTCTGCATGGATCACCAAACACGCTGTTACTAGCATGCAGTGCACAACTAACTTTCCCTTTGCACGTTTTCTGCACAATGCCAAGTGACGTGGCAGCACGGCAATTGGTCACTGAAGATTTCCCGCACGTGTTTTTGTTGAGCCGACCATAATTCGCATGCACGATATTCATCATTTTCCCTTTCTTGCAAGTTACGGTGGTTTTCTTGTGTTCGCAGATCGTGACTGATCTTGGCTTGTCTAAAGTTAAAAAAAATATATATAATAATAACTTCAAACATCAACGCAAGGTCTTTAAAAATCGACCCAACCGTGTTTCTTAAACTTACGACGATTGACACTAAATTTGTGTTATATCGTTGTTTATCTCTCTTTCTTCACTTCTTCAATATAGAATGATCAACTGATTTCTGTCTTTCGCTGTTTCTCGAAGCTAATTCATTGCTATCAAAAGAGGAAGAGAAACAAATATTTTTTTTAATCAGTCTCTCTGACAAGCTGTTTTACAATATTAGTTTGTAACCAGAATGAAGAACGTAAAGCGCTGGAATTCCCGCCACTGAACTGAGGAAGTTCTCTGACGACTCGTTGTACGATCTTACGCCATTAAAATGAATATTTCACAGGTCGCTAGAATGTGAATCATGCACTTACATAAATTTTTGCATAAAGGCAGAAACACTCACCTTCCCTCATGGCCTTTCGCATCATCTTTGTAATGGTAGTCAGTTTACGGTCTAATCTGTCCAAGCGCCGAAGTACCTTTGTGTTCGCTGATAAAAATTGAAAGATATCAAAATTCAGAACATAAGTTGATGATAACTCGAAGCAAAACCTCTGTTCACATGGCACCACTATTTCCTCGGAAGACGTTCAAATTTAGAGATACATTTCCATAGATGATAACTGAAGTTTTCCAAAAATTATCCTACCTTTTCGCAGTTGTTTTGTTGCCACTTCAAGTGCGCCAATTCTGCTATGGGTGAAGCGAAGAGTTAAGTCGACGGAACTTACAATCGACAAAACTTGTTTGAAATTCTTCTTCTGGTTGGGGCAAACTGTTTTCAGCTTATTAGAGATTTGTTTTATCATAAACGCTCCTCCCTTTTTAGCTCGTGTAGCTTCGGAGCCAAGTGGATCTAGCAATGATACGAGCGCCAAAACAACGAGAACCCAAGTTAATTTCATGGCAAACTGATTTGAAGCGATGGCTTTGTCTCTTCACTCAATATCATCCGAAATTACAATGGCTTTGCTTCGAATAGGAAGGATATGCTAGTTTCAGCTCTTTGTGTTAAATTTCGCCGTTTTTTCATGTTAGTTGTCAAATATCCATGGCCTAATTTGATGCTCTGTTTGTTCATTTTAACTATGCATCCAATTTCTCTTCCTTTCTGAGATTTATCGATAAATGTCTCGTCCCCAAAGTGCCGGTTCGCAAGTCTCAACCATCAGTCTTGAACTAAGATATAAAATGTAACTTAATTAGTCTAATTCTGTTTCGGCCAAAACCACGACGGTTTATTTTCCTTGTTTGTATAGCTTGGTGACTTCCTCTTAACATTCTTGGACCGATTTTATGAACTCAGACCAACTGTAAATATTTACTGGCAACTCGGTCAAAAGAATACAGATCGAAGTTTTGAATTTGACGTACGCGTACTAAAATTATTCAAAGCACGACCTTACGTACATAAAACAACAAAGAAAAAGAGTTTTTTTTTTCTCTGCCTTTTCACTTTATTGCCTCTCCGACACGAATAGGAGTGATCCGATGTTTTTACTCTAATGTAAACGAAATGCAAAATATCAAGCATCCTTGAATACAAAAACTACAATACAATCGATCAAGGCAAACAAAACCTGTTTTTGAAATGCATGTGCTTACGACACTTCTGGGCGGATGGACGTGTTGTTGAATACCTTTGGTGCCCCCTTACAATGATGACAAATAAAAAGCTCTATACTGCTCCGTAAGCCTTGCTTGAATTCAGGAAACTCCTATTCTTTCTGTTCCACTAGTGCCTGCTAAAATCAGTAAAGCAGCTAGCCTACGATTCGTAATAATCTACGATCAAAAGAGGGACAATAACAAGAACAACATCGGGCTGGTAGAAAGTAGACATTTTATTGTAAGCTACTATTAAGATACTGTACAAACATATTGGCAATTTTCTTCGTATCTTCGACAGGATGCATTTTCGTATAAGTAATAAACTGTCGACGTATTTTTCTTAATTCTGCCATGTGGGCAGTCCTATTCAGAATAACGTGGAGACAAAACTGTCAAGGAAATATACACATCATCATTTGAAAATGAGAAAACTATATTGTTATCACTTGACTCGTGATCACTAAGCGGTCACTTCTGATATGAATGGACTTTTCACACGCAAACTGTAAGTGCTCTTTGCGTGAGGGAATCAGAGTACCTCAAAACTGCTTACTTTCCTTTTTCTAATGCGGAAATAAATTTGGTTTGTTTTATAAAAGGATATTTTCTCTGATGTTCCCGGGACCGTGATGTGATCCCCAGGTACAAACGTCCGTTGGGAATTTATCAAGGCCTGAAAGAAAATCAGCATTGTGAAACAAAAGTTACAAATAAAAATGTATTCTGTCATTTTGAAGAATTGCCGAGGCCTTTTTAAAACTGTCATTCTGATAACAAGAAACTACCAACGAATACCATCTATCTTTTTTTCTCCTTTGTTTCGATGAACGATACCATTATTTACTGATAAATGAAGTTATCATGCATCTCTTTAACGATTTTAACAACAACAGTCAACACTAACAATCGCCTCAAAGCCAATGTAATAATGAGATAAAGAGCGCACTATATGTTACTTACAGTAACTATTTCTTGCGTTATTTTGTCAAGTTCGTACAGGAAGTTTGTCGCTGACAAAGGTTGCTTGAAAACAAAACAAATTGAGCTGGTTAATGGGTAAGAATCAAAACTTCTTAAAGCTTGTAATTAAAACTGAAATTTGCGCAAGCACCAAAACACGATAAACTGTATTTAAATGCTAAACTAGTCAAGCCACAGACTGAGGCAAACGTCACGGATCGAAAAATGCTCAATTGAATGTTACTGACGAAGAAAGGCATTGAAAGAACAGCTGTAAATGCTAAACACTCTGAAAAAGTATTGTGGCTACCATATCAGCCATATGCGATTGTTACCAAGCACATATGCGATTGTTACCATATGCGATTGTTACCAAGCCATATGCGATTGTCACCAAGCAACGCATGAAATGGATTGGCCAGAGATGGGGAAGGGCTTGGGAAGAAACAAAATTTTCTTTCCCAATCCCCAACCCGACCCCATTTACTAGCTTGTCATTCTCTCTACTACCCCCCTAGTGTACTTGTTTTGCCTGCTTAAAGATTTCTTGAACCTTACCGATCCAGCATGGCTGGTTTCAGCACTCAATTGGAATGATTACCACTCACTTTCCAAAAAATTCACCTGCTATGCAGGCTAGCGAGGGAGGGGTGAACAGTCTTAAGTGCCAATCAAAATTCAGTGATTCTGATGGTTGAGGTCAATTCAAATTCCTAATTCCTTACCGGTTGTGTTGCCTGGTTTGGCGGCGGTGGTACTCTGTTGACTAATGCATCATATATAGAGTCGAATGGAAGGTCGTCATCAACCTGAAGTAAATAGGCAACTAATTTAAAATAGAAAAGTTATAACAACCATAAGAAGAAAGGGTATAATTATTTCATAGAAGGTTCCTCTGCAATTCCTGCCCTGAAAATTACATTAACAAATAACCAAATAAACAAATAAAGAACTGAAGAAGAAAATTTTAAAAAACTAAGGAAACCTATTCCTTGTGTAAGTTAGTTTTATGCAAATTCTTAACTTGCATAACAGATACTATTTTGCATTTTCCAGGAAAAAAGAGGCAAATATCATTTCTTTTGGCCTCTGCTCAGCATAGAAACAAAAAGAACCACAACAGCCTGCTTGCAGGCTATTGTTTGTGTTTCAAGTGTACAATGCGGGGCAGCAAATATTCGGTTGCCATATTGGACAGGTGGAAGATTTGGGACAAGTGACAAATTGAGGGGGAAGGGGGAAGAGGAAAGGGGGAAGGGGGAAGGGGGAGGGGGAAAGGGGGAGAAAAACCTGGTTCTTTGCATGTACTACATACATACCTGGATGACAAATAATGGAGAGTCCCATCTGTTCCTGGACTCAGGTGGCTCAAACCTCATTATTAAAGCATCTAATCTGATTCAAACAAGATGCAGCACAAATACTCAAACTTGGATTGTGAGGAAGTATTGATGAGGAAAAGTTAAAGGCAATCATTGCCATTTTAAAGTTGTGCAATCTTAAACAACAAACTGCATTTTTGAGTGGTCTCACTGAGTTACATTGGCAATACAAGTGTATTTTACCACTTTGTAGAGAGTAGAATGCCAAACATTTTGATTTGCAAGTCATAAATCACAATTAGAGATTCACAAAAAAACTGAAGCATACATATGTTACATCAATTCTTGCCAAAAGCAGAGCAAAATTGTACCATTTTGGTAACTGAACATTGTCCTGAGATTCTGTTCAGTCACAACACAATATAACCCACATGAAAAACAGCTGTGTGACATATGCAAACAACATACATCTGTGCAATCTACTACAATGTGAATAAATAAAAAAATATTCAGTATTTGTTTCATCAGTTAAGTGAGCCAGAAGTACTCACATTTCATCATTATATCTTTTTTCTCTTGTTTTATTCCAACCTGAGCAGATTTCCTTAGAGGTGTCACAGTGCACCTTGAAATTAAATTTAATAAAAATATCTGATTAGTATCTCAGAGTTCTAAGAGTAGTTGCAAAAACCTAATCAGTTGGGAATATTTATTCCCCACTGTTTTGTCACAATGCCTTGTGCATTAACTGAATTTAAAAATATTAAATCAAGACTCATGTGACAAATGAGTATGATTATAATTGTATTTTATTTTCAAGCAAGGAGGAATCACCTGTACTTACTATGCAGTGTGTGGTCTTGTGGGCCTTTGCAACACAGTACAACTCATACCTATAACCTTAAAATAACCAAAAGCAGAAACATGGTCATTTCACTGGGATAGATTAATGTCTAGATCCGGGATAGTTATGTCCAGATCTACTTTTTATTGATTAATGTATTAAATATTAATTCATTAATCACAGTTTTATGACTGGACTAAGTGGTAATAAATCTAAAATAAAGGAAAAATAAAAAACCCTGTGAATAATCAGTAAGAGTCCTTGAATCTATTAAAAAAATAAATAAAAAAAAGACAAAACAAAAAAAGACACTATGCCTCAAGTAAAAAAAAAAAAAACTGGACAAATGTCCCTTTCTAAGCCTACATGTATGCCTCTGCAGTCAATTCTTAGCATGATTTTTCATGATTTTCTCAGGATTATTTTTTGATTTACATCCAAGCTACAATCTTAGAAGTAACAGTTTCCTTATAACTATACTAGAGTTTGGGTAAATTTATCAAATATGAAATATCAATTGAAGTTTCATTCAGAACAACTATTTTCAATAACCTTTTATGTAGTTTAGGGAGTCCAATATAACAATGTCATCTCTTGAAATGAGCCTTGTGAGAAAAAACAAACACATACCCGAATCAGAGCCAAGAACTGTATCAAGTTACTTTCAGGAAAAATAGGTTGTAGCAGCTGTTACCATTGTTTTAGATCATTATACATTTTATTTTATTAGCTTCACCGACCGGCAGGGACACCGCAACAGCTTGCGACCCCAAGGGAGGACATCCACCACACAGTAATCTCGTGCGTGGGATATTAACGCCTGCTACCCCAACCCTGCAGGAGATGGGACCTCCATTTATTCGTCCCTATCTGAGAAGACTAGAATATCTAACCATTTCTTGATGTTATAGAAAGGTAGCAAATTCTTCGCAATTATTTTAAGACCCTGAGTGTTGGTCCGGCCAGGGCTCAAACCCTCGACCTCCTGCACAACAGTCCTGCGTTCTATCCATTAATTGAGCTAACCGGGAGGCGGTTAGCTCAATGGATAGAGCACTTCCACTTACAGAACTCTCGCTGGTACCTCTAATTCAAAGTACAACAATGATTCAATTTGGCTAGAATAACAAGCCAAGCAGTCATCGAACATTTTGAGATGTGAGTTTTCGCTTGAAGGAACTGTGCACTCATGGTGATATACTTTTAAACCATGAGGCTTTAAGTAAGCAATTAAAGAAAGATGGACCATGGTTGATCTCAGTGTACAAGTACTCTAACAGTGCTATTACTGAAACAGAAGAGGTGCATTTATTGGAATAGGGGTTCTAATTGGTACAAGGGTGCTTACTCACTAGGGGCAATTAATGACAAAAAAAATTGAGGGGGCCCCTTTTAGAGCTAAAGAGGGAGCACTTATTGGAAGGGTGTTACAAAAACTAAGACCTAAGACCTAAGACCTAAGACCCATATTAGTCTTCGAGATTACCAAAACTAAGACCCCTAAAATCGAATCCATCAAAATATAAAGTCAAATTGTAACCAAAATAAATCTAATCTGTCAAATTATCTCCTGTCTGATCCATTCCAAATTGTGTTTTAAGTCAAATTTAACGGTAAATTTAGGGGTCTTAGTATTCTTAATTTCGAAAACTAAGACCCCCACCGAACCATTCTGTAAAATTTCTACAAAGTAAAATTATGACCATTCAAAGACTATAATCTGTAAAACAACCAAAAACTACTATTATACTTGATGATCAGGCCTGCGAACAACTCAAGATCTGAGTTTCCGCACCAAAACCTGGCTTGTGTGCACACATTATTCAGTAACCCAATCTTGATCATAGAGACACAGTCTGAGAGTAAAACATCCATCTCCAATAGAAAGCAAATTGTATAATTTAAAGGATAAACAACAAAATTAAAGACCAATTGGGGTAAGGCACATTTTCAGTGTACAATTATATGTAGGTAGTGTATGGCTTTCATCTTCTTTATAAAGCCACAATGCTGATAATATATGTCTGCAAATTGTTAGAAGTAGCGGATTGTCTAACATGCGGATGATAGTAGTTTTTGGTTGTTTTACAGATTATAGTCTTTGAACAGTTGTAATTTGACTTTGTAGAAATTTTACTGAATGGTTTGGTGGGGGTTTTAGTTTTTGTAATTACAAAAACTAAGAGGGGTCTTAGTTTTCAAAATTACAAAAACTAAGACCCCTAAATTTACCATTTAATTTGACCTAAAACACAGTGGAAAGGATTGGAAAGGAAATAATTTGACAGATTACAAGACTGTGGTCTAGCAGTGCCCGGTAGCCCCTGGAGCCTTACTTTTACTCTTGGGCAACCTCAGGAATTTAAGTTTTTTCGTAAAAAGCCCATGCTGGGCACCCTGGACTTCACAGTTTAAGAGTACTGAGCTCCATTCAATTTTCCTTAGAGCACAGCTTTGGATTAGACCTGTTTTGGTTACAATTTAACTTTATATTTTGACGGATTTGATTTTGGAGGATCTTAGTTTTCGTAATCTCAAAAATTAAGACAGGTCTTAGGTCTTAATTAGTTTTCGAGGGTCCTAGTTTTCGTAACACCCCTTACTGGAAAGAGGGCGCTAAATCGAATCATTACGGTACATGTACGTTCCTAAAAATAACTTACTTATTATCAGCCAAGTAAAATATGTTACTAATATATATATATGGCTACCTCTCCACTGCTGACTTTAAAAGGCCTCTTGCTTCCTTCTCATTAACTGAGGCTGAAACACAAGTTGACATTGAAAAACCAATTGAAAGGAAATTAATTTGCAGATTGTGTAACGACTTAATTTTTGGATTTTTATCTTCATCTACACCGCGATTTGATATTTAATTAAGCTTTTAAGTACTGTATAAATTGAACTTTATACCAGAATACACTCCATTTCTGTCCAACGAGTTATTATCGTCGCCCGCTAAATGAACAGTTTTCCCCCTGTTTTCCAAGTAATTCTTCAATTCGTGCGCTCTTTTTGACTTCCCAGAACAAGGAAACCCACACATGATAATAAGTGGCATCTTAAACATATATATTCCACCAGTTTGTAGAGGGTTTCCCATTCATACAGTCTCACTCTGTTCAAACACTTTGGCCGCCATTTTAAAGCAGTATTTTATGTATGGTCATGATATCCTTATATGGAAATACTCTCTCCAGCACACCCGGTCAAATCCCGTTACACTTTTTTGAACATGGCGGACGTTGTGTGCTTCATCAGACTTTGTACATTACTTCAGCTTGTAATTTGTCAAGTTTCCTGGAGTGATAGCACTGTTAAAATCCTCGATGATAATTCTTTTGAGCACTTGACTCAAGCCTCAACGGGATCAACGACTGGAGACTGGTTGATAGTGTTGTAAGTTTTTATTTTCTCTTTGTCTGTTCATGAGGATTTGCTTTTTTTTTGCAATGGCTTTCGATAATAGTTTTAAAAAGACTGAATTATTTTGTCCTTTTCATCTTTAAATCCGTTTTGTGCAGTTCTTTCACTGAACGTGATCCAGAGTGTGCAGAATGCAAGAAAGCAGATGAGGCAATAGAGAAAAGTCAAGAACAGTATGTCCTCTAGATGTTATGAAGGAATGAGGCTTTCGCCGATAACCCTGTAGCCCTCTTAGAGTTTATTTGGGCTTCAAGATCTTTCTGTTAACTTTTATGGGCCTATTGGGGCCATAATTACCGTAGATGATTTTGTTCTCAAATGAATTTGCAAGGAGTATTACTTTCTATAAATGGTAGCCCAGTCCATGGCCTGAAATCCTTTCCCCAGTTTTATTTATTTATTTATTTTTTTCAATTTTTCTTTTGCCCATTTTTTCAGGGTCCAATCTGCAAACCAACCATCACTCCAATGCATCAATGCGTTTATAATCTGTTTAATCTGTCAATCATGTAGCTGGGTGTCTTTCCAAAAAGTTGTGATATATATATATATATATATATATATATAGCTCTTTGGCATACAAAGCTTTGCTTTCATGTCCAAATTGAGCACTCTATCTAGGATGAGTCATTGCCGTTGCAATTGCGCATGCTCGCTGGTTTACTCTAGTTTGAGCACTCTGGCATGGCTTAGACGATACCACAAAGGTTGGGTCGTTTGGGGTGACCGTCTCGGTTCTCCCCCATCCTAGCATTAGCACTGCACTGATGAGGCCCAGAAGGCCGAAACAGTACTGTCTGCAGTTAGTTATATATATATATATATATATATATATATATATATATATATATATATATATATATAT